TCTCTCCCCACCCCACCCCACCCCCCGCCTGAAACAATCCAGAGTATAACAAAAATGTGAAGAATCAGGAAATGGATTATTCAGGAAAAAGTACAGGAGTTGTGAAAGATTTCTTTACAACACTTTCCCCAGTTCAGGTCAACAATGGTGTATTAAACAGCCCAGAAGGCTGTACCAGGTACTGTGCCAGGCCCATGAGACTTAGAATGAAAAGATACTGTCCTGCCCTCAAGGGCTGGTTCACACTCTTGTGGGACTTGTCAACGTCTGTCTCTTCCTGTGCTTGGGCTTGTAATAGAAACAGTCTGAAACAGAGATACTGAGTAGATAAGAATGCATAAGAAAAAAGGAGACAGAAATAATTAGACCGTTTCCATGTATTTGGTGAGGAGCTAAGACGGGGTGTGCCCAGGTGTCACAGCTGCTTGGAGGAGAGGTCCTCTGCCAGAACTCAGGGAGCTGCCGCTTTGATGTGCTGTCTGAAACGAGCACTGAGGGAATGAGAGATCATCAGGGGCTGGGCAGGGTGGTCCAGGCAAGGAGCAGCAGCAGCAGAGGAACACTGGAGTCGGGCTACTTGTGTAGATGGGGAACTACCAACAGTTCAGCACTGCTAAAGGTGTGAGTAGGAAAGGACAGGAAATGACAGACAGGGGCCAACCACCAAGGCCTTTATAGCCCTGCTGGGCAGCTTAAATTTCGCCCTAAAGGCGAGGGAGATCCACCAAAGGGTCTTAGGAACATGTGATGGCCAGGTTTGTGTTTTCGATTCATGTAGAGAAAGGATTTAGCAAAGTATCAGTTAGGATTGAGCACTGCTGCATGCAATAGTGGCTCAAGCCAATAGGGGTTTTTCTCACATATCAAGGAGTCTGGAGGTAGACAGTTACTCACTGGCTCAGACACTCATCTCCACTCATCTCCTTTCTGTCTTTTTGCTCTGCCATGCTCTTGCCCTCACAGTTGTCACCTTGTGGCCGGAAGGTGGCTGTCTGAATTTAGAACATCACATCCATATTCAAGGCAGCAAGGATGTCAAAAAATGCAGCTATTCCCTTTGATCACCACTGTAAAAAGCCTCCCAGAAACCACCAGCCTTTCAGCAGGATGCTGGTGGTTAGGTTAGGACTATACTAGATGGCCTCCTCTAGCTGCAAGAGAAGCTGAGAAAGCAATCATTTTATTGCTAGAGTAGATTTCTGTAAGGGAGCAGGAGGTTGGGAATACGTGGTGCTAATAAAGAAGGAGTGGATATTGCTGCCATTAATTGAAACTAAATACAGTGATACCTTGGTTTTTGAACATTTCAGAACTCGAACGGTCTTTGGGAATGGATTACATTAAAAAACTGAGGTACCACTGTACTCAGAAATTCTGCGGAGTGCATGTAGTTCTTCTAGATGTGGGTCTGAGGTATCATCCCAAGGGGATATTCAGCAGGGAGTTGGATAGAAGCTAAAAACTCACCCTGGCCACTGTGGTTCCGTGGTTAGGGCATTGGCCTGCACACTGAAATGTCACAGGTTTGATTCTTGGTCAAAGGCATGTACCTGGGTTGCAGGTTAGATCCCCAGCCCTGGTCAGGGCACGTGTGGGAGACAACCAATCGATATGTCTCTTTTATATTGATATTTCTCTCTCTCTCTTTCTCATCTCCCCTCTCTCCCCATCCCTCTTCCCCTCACTTCCTGTCTTTCACTCTCCTAAAAAAAAAAATTTAATGGGAAAAATATCCTCAGGTGAGAATTAAGAAAAAAATAAAATTAAAAAATAATATAAATAAATAAAAAAACCTCAAGTGAAGGCTTAAGACTTGGGATATATTTGGAGGTCATTAGAATGTAGGTGGTAATGTAGTGGGGAGCCCTACATTCTAATGAGCTCCAAATATACCCCGAGCCCTACTCATAATTTCTGAGGAGTGCATCCTCCTGACAATTTCAGTTTAGCCTAAGTTTGCCAAGACGTGCTAATTTACACAACTATTTTTTCTACATGCTCACACACCCACCCTGGAATTTAAAGGATAGTAAAGTTATGCAAAGAATCATTGTGTGCAACAAGAACCAGAACTGTTTCTGCCAAGCCCACCTCCAACACAAACATGTACACACACCAGTCAGTGCTATACATAGAACTGGCTCTTAGATACCCACATCTATTTGCCACACTGTGGAGCAAATGTGTTTTCATTCTTTTGATTAAAATAACAGGAACTATCATCATACTGGAGGCTTGGCACTTGTAACAGAAATATAACCACACAAAAAATACAACTGTGGAGACTCTCGCCCGAGGTCTACTGGCAAGGTGTCTGGTACCATCCCTAGCTTGGGATAAAAATCCTGCAACTAAATAATCCTAGCTCTCAAGCAATGCTCAGATCTACTCCGAAGACCCAGTCCAAGAGGACTATTGAAGAAGTCTTCTGTAACCTGCAGCCTGAAAGGGGCCTCTGCCTCTTTAGCCAGTTGGCCGGTCACGGAAATTCTACTCTGGAACTGTGAATACAAGAGAAGTGTTTCTTCAATATTTACTTTGACCAGTGAAATAGCTATGACAAATTTTTTCTTTTCCCCAAGACACAAGGTGACATTTTAAAGGAGAAACCACTCTTCTGGTGCCATAGAGTCTTTTAAAAATATTAAAGTGAGAGCTCAAAGGAATGTCTGCTCAAGCACAGCTGTCCAAAGACTCACATTTCACGGAGAATTCAGCCACTTTCTGCAGACGGGGATCCAGGACTGTTCATTTCAGTCTCTTCCCTGTGGAACCTACTTCGTACTCAGCATCACATTAAAAATTAGTAACATCTTCTTGGTTCAAGGGCCCCTTTTTCCGCCCCCTTCTGAAGGTTAGGGGTCACATCTTGTACTCAGTTATTTCTTGCAGAGTTCTGTCTGTCCTGGTAAACCTGTAGGCAATAGTTGTTAAATGAATGAATGAAAGAATGGAGAGCAGTGGTAGGTGAGTTGCTAGGAAACCTGGAAAAGAGGTTTAGAAATCTCTGGTCAGGTTAGCAGGAAAGGTGGTGTAGGGGAAAGAATGTTGTACTGAGCCAGCAGACAGAAATCCTAGCCCCGGGTTGGCTTGCTTGCCTTTACTCATTCAACAAACATTTCTTTAAGCTTCTTCCAATGAGCCAAGCAGGCATGTGGCAGACCATGAATAAGACAAAGTCCCTGCCCTCACAGTGCAGCGGTGGGTGGTGGTGAGGGGCACATTCGGTGATCAGGGATTATAGAGATATGTTTGATTGGAGATAGGATAACGGTCAGCACAGGGCACATGAAACAGGGAGAAAGGATTTCTAGGTCAGACTGTAGTTTCCAGAAAAGCATCCTGAAGGAGATTTTGATTCAAGTCTTAGGATGAGTGAGTGTTGACTAGATGATATTGATTGGGGAAAACATCATAGGTAGAGGGATTAGCATGTGAGGATGTTCCAAACCATAAAATAGGAGGTTACAATTGAGAACTAAAATCTCAGCTGAAAGATTGGCTATGGCCAGAGCTGAAGTTAGAGAGGTAGGCTAGAGCTACCTTTCAAAGGGCCTTGTGGCGATGTCATCTAGTGCTTAAGAGCACAGGTTTTAGAAATTAGACAACTGAGTTCAAATCTCAGCTCTGGTACTCACCAGCCATGTAACAATAACTGATGTTTTTTGTTTGTTTTCTTACCCCTCTAAGTCTTAGTTACCTTAGCATAGTGTCCAGCTGTTTCATTTATCTTTTGTTGCATAACGAATGATACCAAACCATAACAGCTTGAAACAATATGCATTTATTAAATTCTCAGTTTCTGTGGGTCTGGAATCTGGGCCCTGCTTATCAAAGTCCTCTGCTTCAGGGTCTCACGAGGCTGCAATCAAAGTGTCAGCCAGAGCTAAGGTGCCATCTCAAGACATGACGGGGAAGGATTCACTTCCTACCTCACTTACAGGTCTGCTGGCGGAATACAGTGCCTTGCTGGCTGTCGGCCAGAGGCTGCCTCAGTTCCTCGCCATGCTGGCCTTCCCATCATAACAGCTTCCTTCATCAAAGCCAGTGAGAGAGAATCTGTTATCAAGACAGATGTGGCCTAATCATTGAAGTGACTTGTCATCACCATTAGCGCATTGTATGGGTTAGAAGTCACTAGGCCAGCTCTAGTGACTTCCAGGGCAAAGGCTTATACAAGGAAATGACCACCAGGAAATGGGGATCATGTAGGCCGTCTTAGGGTCTGCCTGACCCACTAGCCTATAGCTTCTTACCTCTAAATAAATGTTAGCTATTATTATTATGTTTACTTAAGAGCTGGAAAAGCTAGGGAGCCAGTGAAGAATTTCATATTAAGGAGTAACTTTAGGTGACCATGGGCAGGTAAAGTCACCTCATGTCTTTGAGCATTAATACAATGTAAAATACCTAACCCCAAAGAAATGATAACATACATATGCGAGTACAGGTATATTTTGTAACACCAAATATACAACTCTACACAGTCTGTGGAAGCAAACTGTTTCGGGCCAATTTTCCATTTTGTGTTGATTCTGTGACTCTCACAGCCTGATATCTTTAAAGTTTTTAGGGCTTGGCTCTGCGGGCCTAAGAGGATTTGTACAACGGGAATAAACATTCACGAGAAAAAAAAATATCTATCTTTTGAGCGCCCCTTACTTAAGGCAATCGCAAAGGTTTGCTTTTTACCTTCTTTTTAAAAACGTTTGCTTCCAAGGACCCCATGGGGGACTGGAGAGAGAAAACAGACTATCTGGGAAATTCCAAGCTCTTGATAATAAAAATGGTAATAAAATCTTGTGCGGCTCCTGATGCTTCGCAGAGGGAATGTTTATGGTGGATGGGGTTCCCCCACACCCTCGCAGCTGGTTTGCGCGGGCTTCCCGTCCCGAGGAGCGGCTCGGGTTCCACCTCCGCGCCCCCGAGCAGCGGGTGAGAGAGCCCGGGTCCCCCTCCGCCGCAGCTCCTTCACCGCGTCTGCTCGGTGCCCAAACGGGATGTCTCAGCGCGCGTCCCGAAGGGCACCGACCACACGCCGGGGGTTTTCCAGCCCTTCCCGGGAGCGCTTTCCCCCGGGGAGGAAAACAGAGCTCTCGACCTGGACGGAACTCAGGAGTCGGCCAGCCCCGCTGGCTTCCTACGAAGACGCGATTTTGATTTTCGACGGGGCGTCTCCGGGCGGAGAGACGCGCTCGCGGAGGGTGCGACGGCGGCGATTCCCTTGGCTTCTCTGCCCGAGGGGTTGGGCTCGAGGACCCCAGCACACACCCTCGCCCGGGCAGCTGGGTGCGGGGCGTACGCCACCGCGGGGTCCCCGGTCGCGCCGAGGTCACCTCCTGCTCCTGCAGCGCCGCT